CTATAGCGCCTGCTTTTCAAGAGGATCTTACGTAATCATTTGTTCTCTGGGAGAGTGCCCAGTATTTTAAATGCCTCAAAAGAGCTGCTGTAGCTTGGAAGGTTTGCGATTGCTCCCATTCAACGTGTCCTCAGCCCTCTCCTGTGCGTTGGGGTCCGTTTTGAGGAGGCTGAGGGGATGTTGGCCATCGGGGACCCCCTGCCCTGTTTTGTCTTCTGAAGCAAGACGGTACCGTACAATGATTGAAACCAGAAGAGCGTGCCCGTGACCCGCCCACTGCGGCCCAGGCACGATCGCTGGCAGTGTTGGGTCGCTGGCTTCCGCTGTTGTAGATGGGTCATAGAGGTCATGACCTGAGCCAAAATCAAGAGTCAGACGCTCAGCCGGCTGCGCCAGCTAGCCCCCCCACCCCCATATAATTACAATTTTTAATCTGTTTTTCATTCAGTTTGCTTAATTTATTCAACCCTTTCTTTGCTCTTGGACATCAGAGTTGTTCCCTAATCTTTACAATGACAAAAAACCCCGAGAGACATCTTTGTGCAAAATACGTTGCTCCTTCTCTGGACCACATTTCTGAAACAACTCTCAGGAGTGGATCACTTGCACGAGCAGCAGTATTTTTGTGGCCAGTAGGGGTTTCCTCTGCTGATAGTCCAGTCAGCCGTGTGTGTGCCCCTGGAATCTCATGGTGTCATCGGGGGTTGCTGATTTTGTGGGTTTTAAAAGTGGACTCTAAGTGAGGCTGTACCATTTATTGTTTCAGGCACATCTTTTTTTCCTCCTGAGAGACTGAACGCGCTCTCGCTTGTTACGTACTTCCAGTTCTTCCACTGACTGAGTTTAACTTGTCTGTGAACAGTGGTGTCAAAATATGATTTTCTTACTTTTTATGAATTCTTTGTATAGTAATTAAACCATTGATATTTGCTCCACCTAATGGTTTTATGACTTGGGATCGTCTAGTAAACTAGGATTTCGGTGCTGGTTTGACTTTTTGTATGGGCATTGTTCCAGAAATGACATGCATTCACTTCCGTTTCTCTTGTTTTTTTCTTTCCTTAGATACTCTCTAAGTGGTGGAGGAACTTCAACCCACTGAAATTCCTTTGGCATTTGGGGTTTTGTTTGTTTGTTTTTTTTCTTCTTCCTCCTCCTCCTCCGAAAACGTCCACGAGAGCCTTTGCTGACCCCCGCTGCAGCGGTGTGTGCCATCCAGGGGCCCCCCACTGCCCCCACCCCGGCCGCGGGTGCCCACCGTCCTGGGGCATGCGGCCCTCCCTCGCCGGCCTCCACCCGACGGACGCGCTCGGTGGGGTGGGGAGGGTCGGCTCCTGGCAAGCGATCATTTTATTTTCTTGTTCTTGTTTTTTAATTTTAGCCATTGTGCACATATCAAGGAAAGTGTCTTTAAAAACAAAAACAAACCCTGAAATGTATATTTGGGATCATGACAAGGCAACTGAAGAAATGAAATCTCAGGTACCCTGCTTTAAGTGGGTGACTCCCCCTCCGCGGGAGACGGAGAATCGCTCTGGTGGGTCAGTGTACAGATTTGTATATAGCGTCATTTTTACGGAAACCCTTTTGGCGTGCATAAGGAATCACTGTGTACAAATTGGCCAAGTGCTTCTGTAGATAATGTCAGTGGAGTAAATATTTGACAGGCCATAACTTGAGTCTATTGCCTTGCCTTTATTACATGTAAATTTTGAATTCTGTGATCAGTGATTTGGGTTTTATTTTGTATTTGCAGGGTTTGCCATTAATACCACTTTATGCCCCTCGTACGGAACACTCCTCTGTACCTCCGCAAACACAGGTCCCCCTCTTGTTTGCCCGACGGCCCTTTGGGTACACGCACAGGTTGATTTCCTTTCATTTGATGGTACTATTTCTTAGTGTTTTGAATTGGAACATATCTTGCCTCATGAAGCTTTAAATTATTATTTTAAGTCCCTCCCCGACGAAGTGCTCTCGTCTTCATGCTCGTTTGGAATCGTGCCACTGCCGGCCCTGCGCCCGCCCCCCGTCCTTCCCGGTAGGACTTCCTGTCACGCTCGTAGTGGAACCCGCGTGCCATCTTGCCCACCTAAAAATGTCTGAATGCTTACACGAATAAATTTTATAACACACTGACTTTGCGTACTTTTCCTTGAAACTTGACTCTTCCGGGGACAGTGTACCTGTCGTGTGTGTGTGTGTGTGTGTGTGTGTGTGTGTGTGTGTGTGTGTGTGAGAGAGAGAGAGAGAGAGAGAGAGAGAGACACAGACATTCGGCACTTACAGAAAGAAGTGCCCACGTTGAAAATGCTGAGTGTCCGGGTCAGCTCCCTGTGCAACTTTCAAAAAATTGGCCATTGGGAAAACATGGCTGGATACTGCTGATTTGTGAAATTGTGCTCTCTTCCCAGGGACCTTGACTAAGGGTGGCTTTGTTTTCTTAAAGAAGCCCCGGGCTGCTCTCTGTCAGCCGGGGGTCTGTGTGTCTCTTGGCCTGTGGCATGGCCTTGCTGGCCCGGGGGAGGCAGGAGGAATCATTTTTCTGGGGTGGGGGAGAGAGTCCCTGCAGCAATTCCTGACTAAGTACATGTGGCATCATGTTCTATTTGTTGATGCGAATCATTGTCCTCTCTTGTTGGTGTAGCAATTCCTGGAGGGGAAGACAAAGGATTTTTGGAAGCAAAGAAGTTTTTGGGATGGAAGGTTCGATCGATATCTGCCGCCCCAGTGGCCTGGGTTACAGGGAGAGGACAGAGGGCCAGAGCCAGAGAGGTTCGAGTGCATGTGTGTTGTTTAGATTTGTTAATGGAGCGTCGTTTTTTTTAAAAAAAACAAATTAAGTCATTTTTTTTAGTAGAAGCTGAATGATTAATTTCTGTAAGGGATACGTTTTGATTAGGGGAAATAGAACTGAATTGCTGATCCTTACATTGTGTGTTCTTTGGCAGCAGGGACCGTTAACTTGGATGATAAAACTTGAGGATGTTTCATTCGGTGTTCCTACCAAGTGTTTTGTATGAGGGAGTGGTTTGTTTCTCTGTGCCAGGCGCAAGCCCAAGGTCAGTTTTGTTCATTGCGGGAGAATCCCATAAAGCAATGACGCAGCATTCTCCAGAGGGCGCTGCTTGTCCGATCTTCAGCCTGCCGGTGTAGACAGCAGCTTTCTTGAGAGTTGTGCACATTTGCACATGGACGGTGACCTCAAGAAGACATGCTGAGGCCGATCTCCAGTGCAAGGAACAGGCACGCTGGCGGGGAGACTGGGGTCCAATGAGGCATATTGGTACGAGAGTTACCCAGAGTCTGCAGCCACTGGATGGTCAGCACAGCGCCACCCCCCGGGGAAAGCAGCGGATCAGTCTTTCCGAGCTTACGTGGGCCTCTTCCGTTGATCAGGCTTCCCGGGGGAAGAAGTGGTTTGAGTAGCTTTGGAAAGTGGATCTCTTCCCGGGTCTCTTCTGGCCTGCCACTTTCTGTGGACACGCAAGCCGAGGTCTGGTTTCCGAGGGCACGTGGACTGGGGGCCGCTTCGTGAGCCAGGGAGGCCGGCCGCAGTGTAGCCCCGTCCGCACGGAGCTCCGGCGGAAGCTGCCGCCGCGCAGCCAGACCTGCGAGGCCAGCATCTGGGATGCGTTCGCGGGCGCCTGGAAGCCTCCTGATGCCACCGGCCCCCGGAGCTTCCCTGCTCAGACCGGAGAAGGCAGTGGTGCACCTGGCCTTGGCAGAGGCTTCCGTGGACATGGAGGCAGTGGGCTCTGGCTGGCTGGGTTTTTAGGCCTTCTAGAAATTCTCTCCTGCGTCCTAGCCGGCTGCACAAGCGAGTGGCCACTGGGGTTTGGGTGCCTCGACATTTCAGAGCTGGCCTTGTGACTGTTGTGATGTGACCATGTGCCACATGTCTTCTGAACCCAACATTGTCGGGTGAGTCTCATGGAGCATCTAGTGCAGTTCTTCATGTAGCATTTTGTACCTTTCTTTTGGCAAAACATGGTCCGTTTATAAGCATTTTTCTATTTCTGCTATCAAATACGGCAGGAAATTGGGAGTGCTGTGTGGCACGTTCATCAGCATGGGAGCTGTGTCATGCGGGGGCCAATAAAGTTCCCGGAAAACCATTTCTGTAATTCCGTCTCGTGTGTGTAGGGGGAATAGTCTGGTCCCCGCCCCCAGCCCCCAAATGCATACGTTAGAATCCTAACGCCCAGTGGGACGGTACTGGGAGGTGATGTGGTCAGGAGAGCGGGGGACCGTGATGGGATTAGGGACTTTGTAAGAACACCCCCACCCCGAGACCCTCCTCCTTCAGCCCCGTGAGGACACAGCAAGACGGCCGACCGTGACCCGGGAAGTCTCTCGCCAGACGCCAGATCTGCCGGCATCTTGATCTCGCACCTTCCTGCCTCCGGAACTGTGAGGTCCGTTTCTGGCATCTCTTACAGTCGCCAAAACGGACGGAGACACCGGGTGTCTCCGAAACTCCGGCTCAGTTCCGGCAGCTTGGGCGTGGTCTCCACGGCCCACATGGTTTGCACTTTGAAGTCACAGGGGGACCCCAGCGGTGCAAACCAGCGCCGGCACTGACATGGTTCGGACTCACTCGGAGACGAACTAGACCCCCTCATCCCCAAGCCTCATAGAACTCAGTGACTGCCTGCCTCTGTCCCATCAGCTGCTGCCTACGCCCACCCTCCCAGGGAGCTGGTCCTGCGGCTGGGGTGTGGGACAAGCCTCTGGGAAATAGCTGGACTTGGAAGGTAGTCCCCCCTCCGTCTTTACTTTCATTCCTCAGGTTTTAGTCCTTTAACAGCACGGACAGGCTCCCAGCAAGGGCCTGCCTCTCCGGTTCCACGTTGTGTGTCTCACACGTGGCTGCGTGCTCGTGGTTTCCCCCCCCCCCCCCGCCCCGGCCCCCGCAGGGACCAACCATGTCCACCCCTGGGCAGCTCCGTCCCTGCAACCCGCCCGCGTCAGACGGAAATAAAGACCAGACAAGGCGGGTGATGTTTTGCCTTAAAACTTCAGTATGCTGGATTGTGGCGTGAGGTATTTTTATTCCCTTTTGTTAGTACTTGAAACCATCTGGTACACGTCGTAAGGCAAACGATAACACATCCCGAGCTCCTCGTCCATGGGTCCAGTCCCGGCTCTGCCACGCCGGCCCGCGGGGCTGGGGTGCAGGCACCGGGAGCCACGGGTTGGATGGGCTGCCCCCTCCGGCCTGTGTCGGAAAGGGTTTAAGGACACTGGGAGTAGCAGCTCCCGATCTCCACAGAGAGGAGGCAAACGGGTTTTGACTAGTGGGCCCGGCAGGTCCTGGAGCCCCATTCCCTGTGTCGTCCGACTGTCAAGGATGCGCAAGGTCATACTGTTGATATACCCCATGCCTGGGGGGTGGGGAGGGATGAGTACAAACAGGAGAAAAGAATGTTCTTGAAGACTGGCACAATATATACTAGTGAATGTGCAGTCCCCAACCACAGTTGCAGGATATAGGTATGAGCACAGGGGCTGGGGGGCGCGGCCCCCGGAAGCTCACAGAGACCCTCCGGAACGTCACAGATCACAAATGGCCCCGATCACTGACATACAGGTTCTCATGCTTGTGAGACAGACAGCAAACACCACAGCTGAGAGCTTCCCATCATACACACCACTCCTAGGACGGCGGGAGCGCGGGCCTTGTGCTGGGTTGCTGCTGCTCCGCCCAGAACACAGCCCGCTTTGCTTTGTAAAGAGGAATCACGGAAACAATTTGGTCAACTTGTGCCAAGAACAGCATTTTGTTGGAGCCTAAACACCCCCCCCCCCCCGAGGGGAACGTACGTAGTGTGCTGCAAACTGCTTGTATTAATCAAAGAAGTAAATCCTACTAACTTGCTGCTATTATAAAAGTAGAAAGATTGAAAAAACGAAATCTGAAAATCTCATTTGCTTAAGATTGTGCCACGTGTATCACAAACATTGGAAAAATTGTTTTTAAACGCACCAGCCTAGAAATCAAAATTTTTTTTATAAGAAAAAGAAGAGCACTTGCCCTGTCTTTTGGTTGAACGGATAGGGTTGTACTGCTTTTAAGGTGCAGTTGCGGAAGAAAAACGGTCATTTGGCACTCTCGTAGTGACAAGGTTTTAATACTGGCGTAGGCTGCAAACAGCCCACCAGGGAATGACGGACGCAGAGCCCCCAGCGTGGGAGCTGGGAGCACTGTTCTCGGAAAGACAAGGGTAAAAGCGGTTTTGTGGAGACCGAGGCGAGCTGCTGTAAAACCACGTTTTGGGTTTCCAGACGGGTGTTAATTTTACTAGGCTTCATTAATACAGGGCACAGGCAGGGTCTCCCAGGGACACGGCCACAGCCGAGCCCCGCGACACTCGTGTCCTGCCTTCAGTAGACGTGAGACTCTTTGTGACTCGGGGTGTGGGCGCGGGAGGCGGAGCTGGTCGCACTGCGGATCACCTCCATCCACCTGAGGCCAGAGAACGAAAAGGAGGGTCAGGGGCCACGTTCTATAAACTCGAGCAGGATTTTTTTTCCTTGTACCAGCTTCACGATACTTGACACACCTCATTACTCACAAAACACAGCACGGCGGGCCGGTGCCTGGTTTGTAACGTGCTAGTTTAGCAGAAGGGTTCTCGAAGGAGCTCCTGGTACCCAAGAACACGAAAGCCAGGCTAAGGGTTCCTCGAGGTGTGCCTGAGGAGCAGTTTGAGAACCACGGGCCTGGGTGGTCCCTTTGCAGAGCCGCAGAAGCGCCCAGGACGGAGGGGTCCCGGCCGGCTGAGGTGGCTCCGTGCCCTCCGGCGGCCTCCCAATCCCTGGGGGACCAGGACCTGCAGCCCGTTTCCTACATTTGAGTATTTGCGGTACAGCGGTGGCTCTCAACAACCCCAGGGACAAGGGCTGGCAGCGTTTTCAGGTGTCACGAGGAGGGGGTGCACGTGGCCTCTAGTGGGTGAGGTGTGCTCCCCATCCTCTAATGCACAGGCCAGGACTCCCCCTCCTCCAAAGAATCAAACGGGCTCCATGTCAGCAGTGCCAAGGGTGAGAAACGGGGAGTAGGGCTTTTGAGAAATTCATCACTGGTCTTTTTAGGGTCTTGTCACTACCAGGCTCAACTGTCAGTGACACCATCCCACCTCTGTCCAGGGCTCCCCCGGCCCGGCTCACACCTGGGAGGAGTTAGCCCCGGCCTCACTTTTCAAGCAGTGTACTAGGAAGTGCTTGGGGGCGGCTTGAACCCTGCTGCCCCTCAACTAGCTTCCCCGACGGCTGGGCATGGGTCCTAACCTGTGGGATGCTCTGGTCCCCACAGCACGGCCGGGACTCCCCAAAGGGGCTGGTGACCCCTGGCCCTGTCTGGTCTGTGGCCTGCGGAGGGCCCCCCCCCCCCCCCGCTGGTGCTTTAACAGTGACACCGGCTACAGGATCCCAGGCCTGGGGGCCCAGAATTTCTAGGAAATGTCTGAAATTGGTCAAACGTGAGAGTCCGGGTCTTTCATCTTTCTTTGAACATTGCAGCTCCTGGGCCTCACTCCGGCTCCCAGGCAGCCTTACTAACAACATTAGCTAACCCCGAGAAGCACTGGGATTTGTTCCCTTCTTGGGGGGTGGTCTGGCTCTAGCACAGTCTGGCACATTCCGACTAAATACTGCAGAAACTAAAAACCACACTGGTTAGAGATTCAAAAGTACATCGTGTGTAGCCTTAACTGTACAGGTTAAGGGCGGATGTTATTCAACCAGGGAAGTCTGTCCCTTCTAGAAGAACAGAGGTGGATACGAGTGTCGGGCCAGGGGACCACCTTCCTCACCCGTGCCCCCCGCCCCAAAGGTCAAGGACAGTTTGGAAGTAAATGCCCAGGCCCCCAGGGGGCAGTGAGCAGCCGCTACTCGAAGGGCCTCGTTCACTGGGCTCGCTTGGGAGACAGGAGGGGCCTCTTCTGGAGATGCCCTGGGCCGGGGACCATTACCTTTCAAATGTATATTCACTTTCAGCCCTGAAGTAGTACACGTGGGACTTGAAATGCAGCTTGAACACGTAGTCCTTGTGGATGTCCTCAGACTCTGAGGGGATGGTGAGTGAGTAGCCGAGCAGAGGGAGGCTGGCCAGGGGGTGCGTGTCCTGGGCAGAGTCAACAGAAGGGGGCTGTGGGGAGGTGGCCCCAGGCTGCGGGGCCTAGCCGCAGCCTCCCGTCCCACAGGCCGGCCCGTGCGGCCTGCTCTGGCCCTGAGCCCTCACCCAAGTCCTCCCCCTCCCGTGTTCACTCAGGCCGCAGTGCTGCTCGCGCACGCGGACAGCGTCCACTGTCCCCTGGAACTCAGGGTCCCGGGGAGATGGCCTCCACCAGGTGGTGCGCCGTCCTTCCGGAGGAAGGCTGCCCCCCTCGCGGGCCCCTGCCCTGGGGCCGGTGCTTACCTGGGGAGACTTGTAGAAGAACAGGCAGAAGTTCGTGAACACCACCCACAGCTTCTGCCACCCACTGCTGTTCTTGAATTTCCTCAGCAGAGTCCCGGACAGCTGATTCTGAAGGACAAGCATGTGTGTGAGGGGCACGGGCCCAGGGGGCTCCTGCGGGGGCTGGGGTGAGGCTTCCTGCGTGTGCCGCCCCCGGGGGTGCATTATCTGAGTCATCATGGCCTCTTGCAGGGAAATGCCCCTCAGGGTGACCTCAGTTGTTAATCAGAGTGTCCCCGTGCCGCATCTCGCCCAGGGACCCTCCCCTACAGCTTGGCGCGCCCCCAGAACGGCGACGCAGGAAAGGCTCCGGCACCCGGGGACAACACGCTGTCGGGCCCCGCGCGCCCTCTGGTGGCCTTGGCCGGAACGCGGGCCGGCAGCGGAAGGCGGCGGCCTGGAGCGGCGGGTGCTGCACCTGAGAGTCCGTCCCAACGGAAGAGTAATCCCCCGTGGAGAGAGGCCTTCCACAGGCGTCCTGCTTGAACTCCCCAGCTCCGAGGCCCGGGGGGGCGGCACACGAGACGGTGAGACCGCCCGTCTGCACCCGGTTGCTCATCACCCTGGAGACTTTTGAGGCAGGACGCTGGGGACAGCCTCACAACTTGGTGGTCAAAGGGGCAAGTTAAAAAAAAAAAATTAAAAATACACCTGAGTCTGCTTTGTTCTCCCAAAGAGCATGTTTAAGGTACCTATGGAAGTAAGGTCCCGGGGCCAGGAGGAGAGAGAAGACCAAGTGTCTCTCTTAGTGATGGGCCAACAGAAGTGAACGGTGCTCCAGGCTGCAAGAACACAGGCGGACAGACCCACAAAGCCGTGGGTCCCCGCAACCAGCACAAGCTCCAGGCAGAGCATCCCATCCCCCCCAGAGACCGTCCCCCGCATCACCCTGCCTGCCACTCACCCACGGGCGTACAAGAAAATGGGGTGCTCTGAGTGCCAAGCAGGTGGGGGCAGCAAGCAGAATGGGGGGGGGGGCGACGCGCACGATTCCGAGGCACAGCGAAGGCCAGGAGGGAGCACGCGCTCCTACCGAGCCCACCGCCTCCAGCTGGACTCCCGGAATCCTGCTCTTGATGCAGTTCCCACAGCGTGCTCGGCCCCCTGGGCCCCACGTTCCAACTCCCTGCACGGAGTTCTCTCTCCTTGCTCCCCACGGTCCTGGTGGCCTCTGGGGTCACCGGCTGCACTCAAACTCCCACTCCCGTTGGCTTCGCTCAGGTACACTTCTGTCCCCTTCTCAGCTCACAGGGCCCCGAAGCCCTGCTGCCTCTTTTCTCGAGAGGCTGGACCAGTCAACATCCTTGACCCACAACCGGCCCCCCCCCCCCCCCCCCCCCCAGTGGCCTCCCCTTTTGGACTCCCCCGCAGAGGGAAGGCCTCTGCCCTCTGCCCGCTTCCTGGCTCACATCGCTGCTCGGTCTTTATTCTGGATTGGATTGCGTTCCCCCCAAAGACTGTTCCAGTCCAAAGCCCAGGTACCTGAGGATGGGACCTTATTTGGAAATAGGGTCTTTGCGGGTGGCAGAGTTCAGATGCGGTCCTACTGGAGTGGGGTGGCCCTAATGCAGAAACCGGTGTCCTTACAAGAAGACACAGGGACACCAGTGGGATGGAGGCGAAGACCGGGGTGATGCATCTACAGGCCGAGAGACCCCAAGGAAGCTGGGGGCGGGGCACGGAAGGGCCCCTCCCCAGCTTCTAGCAGCCCGAGGGGGTAAGCTTCCCTTGTGCGAACCGGTCGGTGGGACTGTGTTACGGCAGCCCAGGAGAGCCACAGAGACCCCACCGTGATCCGCTCTGTGCTGTCTCCCTCCTCCTGGTCGTCTGCTGAACCCAGCCTGCCCGCCTCTGCCCAGGCTTCCAGCACCGAACCAGCTCCGATCTAAAACACAAGAACGCTCCGCCGGCCCCGGCAGCAGCAGACCCCCACGTCTAATGTGGACCCTCAGTGCTCTTAGCTTGCCCACAACCTTCGGGTCGCACCTAGCACCTCTTCGCATCTTCCCCAAATACCCCCAATACTCGCAGGACACGTGAGGGGAAGAGGGTTCGTGTGGGGAGCTCAGCAGTGGACTCGGGGGGGAAGGAAATGCCGCCCCCTCCCTGTTGCTCTGGGGAGGGGGACCTGGCAAGGGCGGGGGCACTGGCAGAGGGACAGACGAGCCCATTCCATGCTTGGCTCACCCGCGTTATTGCTACCTTAAACCCACACACCCCGGGCTCGCAGCCATCTCCCCGCGGGCCGGCAGACTCCCTCGGCGGGCCGGACAGTACGCAGTCTGAGCTCATCGGGCCAAGCGGCAAAGTCAGATACATGTCGTAGCCACTTAACGTCAAACCCTGTTCTTAGTGCCTGGGCTGTGACCAAGCGAGGTCGGGCTGGATTGGCCTGCGGGCCAGTTTGCCAACTGGCTCTGAACACTCACCCGATGTAGGCTGCTGTGCAGGCTAGTCACCCCGAGGGAGCGGGCCTTGCAGTGTCCGGGCCCCCGGGAGCTACCCGACTCGGGGGGTTGCTCTTGAGTGGCCTAAGTGCTCCCAGGCTTGCAAAGGAGGTTTCAAGCCTACCAGCTTCCCATGCCTCGACAGTCCTAACCATAGGCCTTGAAGGCCGGTACCAAGTGAAGCAAAGACCACTTCTCCCTCGGGGACCCACTTCCTCCGGCTTCCTCGGACCAGCTAGACATGTGGAGGGGTCCCTGCCCACCAGCCGGTCGCCAGTTCTTCCCTGCTCCCTCTGTGCTGGAAAGATCACCCCCCACCCCCCATGCCTGGGAGGATCTCTAGTTCCCAAGGGCAAAGGGAGGGAGGATGCTGAGTACAGCGCGCTGGGCAGGACAGAGTCCGTCCGTCCGTCCCTGTGGGGTCGGAGCGGAGGGGCCGTTCACTGCCAACCCCCAGCGGTGCACCTGTCACCCAGGGCCTGCACCTCACCCAGGTGCTCGTGAGGACGTTTTCAGAAACAGGCGTGGCCTTAGGCTACCCCCTGTATTGGGGAAACGGAGTAGAAGCAGCACCGTGGAACCGTGAAGGTCACCCCCACAGAACATTCTCAGTCCCTGTGTGATGTCTGGCTCTTCCCCAAAACTGCAGGCTGGCCCACTGCCGTCCTTCGCTCGATCTCGTGTGACAGGTTCTGGGCCAGGCCCACTTAGGGATGCGGAGGTGTTCAGGGTTTAAAAAGGTGATCCAGCGCCTCTGCTGGATGGCACCTGGTGGTGGGGTCGGGGGCCGGGTCCCGGGAGTTATTCCATGAACCACGGCTGACACGGCCCCGGCCAACCCCCCCCCCCCCCCCCCCTGAGCGACCTGCCACCTGCAGCTGTCTTCCGCCCCACAGCCAACTCCGGGAGAGGGCCGATCAGGGCTTCAGGGGCCCGGAGAACAGAGAGAAGCGGCCCGTACCTCCACGGCGACGCTGAAGTCCACCATGGAGACGCTGGTGTTGCGGTGCCAGCACACGTGCACCATGGTGTTGCCGCGGTGGGGGGCCTGGCGCTCCAGCGACGTGCGCGACGCGCTCAGGTCGTCCTCCGACTCCTGGTCCGCCACCGTGGCCTCGTCCGGGGACTCTGCAGGGTGAGACAGAAGATGGCGCTTCGGATCTTTGCTTGCCAGGAGAAGGACCCCGTCCCAGAGCCTCCCAGGTGCTGGACGGGACGGGACAGCCGGGGGCACTCACCTGGGGAGCCCCGTGCACCCCCCGAGCAGGGAGTCACACCGGAAGCCAGCTCCTTGTCAGGCTCCCACCCCGGGGGAGGGGGGTGTCCCGCCAGCCCCCAACACACCTGGGCGCCGGGGCCTGTGGTGCTCGCCCAGCACAGACGGCCTCGGTTCCTCTCCCTACTGCTGGCACGCTACGTGACAGTCGGACAGGCTGGCCCCGAAAAGATGACCTCCCTGCTCCCTCACACTGTTCTAAGGGGTGTTTTAGGGAGTGGAAGTTCCTTCGTTTTTAGGTTTATTTAACACAAATGTCTGTCAACAACAGCCAAACTATGGGAAGAGCCCAGATGTCTATTGGCTGATGAACGGATAAAGAAGAGGTGGTGGTATGTGTAGACAATGGAATAGTACTCAGCCGTCACAAAGGATGAAATCTCGCCATTTGCAACGATGTGGATGTACGTAGGAGGTACTGTGCTAAGTGAAGTAAGTCAGAAAGACAAACACCGTATGATTTCACTCAAGAAACAAAACACGAACGTAGGGGAGAGGAAAAAAAGAGAGGGAGACAAACCATAAGAGACTCTTAACTATAGATAACAAACAGGGTGGGTGGAGGCGGGGGGAATGGGCTAGCTGGGGGATGGGCACTCGGGGGGGCACCCGTGAGGAGCACTGGGCATTGCATGCAACTGATGAACCAGTGAATTCTACTCCTGAAACCAATATTGCACTGTATGTTCAAATAAAACTCCGGGGGGGAAAAAAAAAACCATGTATAGGGAAAAAATAGAGGGACATGTCAAACTGATAACAGCAGCTACATTAAAGTCCTTGGATTAGAGGGACTTCTTTTTCTCTCTTCTATAAACTTCCAATTACGTGATTTTGTACATATGTAATCAAAAATTAGGGATAAAAAAATAAACACAAATGTCCATCACAGAGATGGGGCCCACCTGGGAGGGTGATTTTTAAATGCACCGGGATGCCCCCCCCCCCCCCCCGGGGGGCCCCGCTGTCTCGCCCCCGCCATGGCTTCCCGGGGGGGCCCCAAAACAGCCCCCCCCCCCCCCCCCCACTTACTGTTGTCAGGGGGGCTGCTGGCGAGGAATTCGGGAGTGGGGCCACTGCTTTTCTCTGCCAAGTCAATGGCCATTTGGATATCCTCAACCCACTTTTCCATCTCGGACCTGCAGCTGAAGAGCCGGGCGGCAGGATTTCAGAGCACGGCGGGGGGAGGGGCAGACAGGTGAGGGGCGCGCGTCCGCGTTACCTGGCCGCCACGACGATGGACTGCCGCCGGCCCCGGAGGGTAAGGCAGTGGGGTACGCCCCACTCGTCCTCGCTTTCCTCGATCTGTGGGACGAGTGCGCATCATGTTACTGCTAAGGGGCAAGCGGGACACTCGGCGCATTCTCAAACAAACGTTGGCTACGCTGGCTATGGCTCAGAGGAACCAAGTCCGAAAAATCACAATCAGAAAGCCGAAAGGAAGGTCCAGATGCACTGAATTGCTTTTTGGCAGAGCGCGTAAACTTCCCTCTATCCGGTGACGGAGGAGAGTGGGAGGCTAAGCCGGGGAAATCATCCCGTGCACACTGGCGTCCTGGCCGCCACCATGGATGCCCACGGGCGCATCTCTGGGGCCGGACAGGTGGCTCCCCGCTCGAGGGGCGGGCTCTACCGCGCCACATGAGTGGTGAGGACTCTTCCAGGGGCCCTGGGCCCAGGCATACCTCATGGCCACGTCAGCTGGTAACTTCCAAGTTACCCGTACATCTCACGTGCACCAGGAGCCGTGTCCCGAGCCCCTCTTGGGGAGCCCGAATGGGGCCTAAGGTGCCTGGTTACGACCCTCCTTCTCCTTCCTCAGCTGGCGGTCTCCCGCTCCCTTTAGCTCGGTCTGCCACCTGCAGGCAGCGCACAGGGAAGGGGCCCTGATCGCATGCCCATGGCGCATACTCACGGTCATGCCGTACAGCGGGAGCTGTCCATGGACTTTAAACTGATTCGAGGCCGTCAGCCCCCTGCTCGTGTACAGCAAGACGTCGTTGAACTAGAGGAGCAAGGACAAGTGCGGATGAGGTGGATGGGCTCTGCTCAAACAGCAGGTGCAGAGCGTGTGTTTTCAGAATCTTGCGTGGCAACTCACTGATCGCAGCCCCTCTGGCTGAGCCGCGCTGGCCGCTCCTCCTTCCTCCCGGGTGGCCCGGGCCCGCCCTGTGACCCCATGGGGTCCCCCATCACTGTGAAGACCAACGGCTGTCGGCACTTACCAGGAAAAACATGCGCTGCTGGAGCCCCTTGCCAGAGAGCTTGCTGAGGCTGCCCAGGCGAATGAATTCCTGCAGAGCAAGCAGACCGACCCCAGCGGTTGGCGGGGAGATGCTGGTGGCCTCATGCCACGCTCCCTTTCACGACGAGAACCACCGCCGTCACAGTTACTGTTCACCGAATACTGCTGTCCCTCCCAGGAACCCACAAGGCAGGGACTCCGATGGGCTCCGCTCGCACAGAAACCAGCGCTCAGAGGCCCCGATGGTGTGGCTCCGCGGCCAGTGCAGCGGGCTCTGCGCACAACCCCCGGGCCCGGCAGGTTTCCCGCTGCAAGGGGGGTAGCAGGGGCCCCAGCCACATGCAGAGTGGCAGCAGGGCACTGGGACGACAGATGAGCCAGAGGGGAGTTACCCCGAACCCAGGAACTGCTCACAGCTCTGGTTCCTGGAAACCAGGAACTGTGCTCTAGGATAAAACAGCCAGAAGCAAGCGCGTCTAAGGAATTCTTCCCTCCAGATTAACAAACTAGAGGACACTGGTCATTCGGGGCACTTAACCTCCACCCCCTAAAACTATCATTTTTAGAAAACTGTGGTAAAATACATATAAAAATGACCGTTTGTGACCTTTAGTGCATTCAGAATGTGTATGCATTGCTATCATCTAGGTCTGGATGTTTTCACCACCCAAAAGGAAACCCATGCCCACTAGGCAGTCACTCCCCACTCCCCGCTTTCCCTAGCACCTGGCTCCCACCGATCCGTTTTCTTTCTTTATGGATTTGCCCATTCTGGATATTTCCTATAAATCGAATCTTGTCATATATGACCTTTTGTGTCTGGCTTCATCCACTCAGCGTGTTTCCAAGTTTTATCCACATTGGGGTATGTATCAGAACTCCCTTCCTTCCCCGGGCTACTTCATTGTACAGATACATCACATTGTGTTTATCTGCTCATCTGAGGATGGACACTTGGGGGTTTTTTCCCTATTGGCTACTATGGAAAATGTTGCTATGGACACTCACGTTCAAGTTTTTGTTTGAGGGGGCGCCTGGGTAAGTGTCTGCCTTCGGCTCAGGTCATGATCCCAGGGTCCTGGGATCGAGCCCCGCATTGGGCTCCCTGCTCCGCGGGGAATCTGCTTCTCCCTCTGCCACTCTCCTCTGCTCATGCTCTCCCCCTCTTTCTCTCTCAAACATAAATAAAATCTTAAAAAAAAAAAGGAAGTGCTGTCCCATATATTTCTAAAAAAGAGCTTTTTTGGTTTGAATACCTGTTTTCAATTCTTCTGGGTATATACTGACAAGTGGAATTTCTGGGTCATATGGAAATTCTATGGTTAACTTATTAAGGAACCACCTAACTGCTCTCCATAGTGCTGCTTCTGCAACATGGCTGCAAGTTCATTAACGTTTTTCACATTCCTCCCGTAGAGGCGGGGTCTCTGTCTGCCTCTCTTAGATATGGGTGAGCTGGTGACCGATTTGACCAATGAGTGTAGACCTGACACTATGTGACTAGGTCAAAGTAGCCTCTGCTTTGTCCCTGGGAACCACTTGCTCTTGGAACCCTGAGCGGCACACAGCATTAAGACAAACCCTGAACCCAGGGTCAGCCAGGCTTCTCTCGTGGGTTTTGTGGTGCACAGTCCCAGCTGAGCCTCCAGATGTCCCTGCCGGATGTCAGCCTCGGACCCTCCAGACCAGCCTATCTGGGACCCCTGTCAATGCACAGGGAGCAGAAGAATCACCTGGCTGAACCCCGCCCAATTCCAGACTCGCAAAACCATGACCTACTCGGAAAAGTTGTCTTTAGCCACTATACATCGGAATAGTTTGCTACGTATCAATAGACTTCTAGACACCTGCCACCAGATTTTTCTGTGCTCACAACAGCTACTGAGCCAAGGAGTCAGCCAACTCATTTTGATTCTATAGATTTTTGCACAGCCTGACTCAACTCTTTGTTTTTTTTGTGAAATGTGGATCAAAAACCATGTCTGCCGGCAGTTTCAGGGATGTGTTCTGGGGACCAACAAAGGAACATATAATAGATCCTCGCAGGAACTCGGCATGGATGCTATCAGACATCGACAATGCGATCCGAGGAAATGATATTGGAGGGGGCCATCACTGCCAGGCAGCCGAGGATGGGATCTGGTCTTGAACCTGCTGCTCCCACCTTGCACAGCTGGAACACGTGTTTTCTAACAAATCTGAGGGAGTGTGACTGTTTTCTGTGCAGGAGACGAGGTGCCCTGTGACACTCACTGCAAGAAGACAAGGGAGCCCCGTCTATGTTCCAGGGGGCTTCGGCGGCCAGGAGCAGAAGGGCTGCAGACTCAGATATCAATGTCTGAGGCTGGGGATGAAAAATGTCTCGTGCCTAGAATTTTCCTTTTTAAACCACAGAATGGGGAGGGGGGATGGCCTCGAATATCCTTAAGAGCAAGCTGCTTCCTTCTGGAGGGAAATCCAGTCCACACCTCTGAGTTTTAACCAAACAGACCTCACACACCTCCAGACCCTACTTCCTTTCTGAATGTGTTCCTCCGACAGGAAGGCCAGCCCGGGAAAATCTCTCCCTCAGGCACACAGTTCTTAGGATAAACACCATCAGGGGGGCTGACGCGGGCCAAAGCGTGCTGCGGCCTTTATGCCTAGGGGAAAAATCCTGCCTTCCAGGATGTGATACTGTCTCAGACTGACCCCAGCAGGAAGGTGAGCAGGATTATGCCATGCTAGGAATTATGCTGCAGTAGCCGAGGGGGTGTCTCTAAAATTATCTACTCCCCTTTAAATCTCAATTTTTAAAATTCCACTTGCAGACAAATCAGAGCTTTCCTCCCGCCCATGGGGTTATTTGATAATTTAATTAATGATAATCAATTAGCCTTGGTATATGGACTACCCCATCTTAGAACTTGTTCCCTGGAGGGCCTCTGATTCCCTCCTTCCCATTTCATTCAGGGTTGATTTGAGGCTGGTTGGTGAACAAAAGAATATCGATTTAAGGCAGTTAGTAACCAGCACCCCACTTCCAACTTCACCTTTATAAATAATCATGAGCACGTGGTATGTGCCTGACATCAGCTGGGGGCTTCTATCAGCACCTTGTGGGAGCCTGTAGGTTCAAAATTATCCCCATTTTTCAGATAAACTAAGAGCAAAATGATTTAGAAGCCTGCCCAAGACCAGTGAGTGACAGAACCCATATTTAGCTAAATGTCTTCCACAATGCTGTGCTATGAATTGCTACCATTGAAGTGTAGACTTAATCCTCAAATAACTATAGGTGGGGGAAGGAGAAAATAAAGTCACATTTGTTGTGTTATTTTTATACACTAAATCTCATTTGATCCTTATGGCCTACAAGGGAGAGCACAGGATGCCCATGTTACAGAAAGGAAGAACATTCTGGTTGGTGGAAACACCCAGCTCTGGTGGAGCCAGGACCTGAACCTGGGGCCTCCTGCTCTAATCTGCTCCTCTTTTTATAGCACCAGTGGGGACCTTTCCTCAAAATTAAAAAAAAAAAATTTTTTTCCTAAAGATTTTATTTATTTGAGAGAGAGCGAGAGCACAGCGTGGGGGGTGGGGTGGGTAGAGGGAGAAGCAGACTCCCCATGGAGCAGCGAGTCCAACGCAGGGCTAAAAAATTCTTTCCAGGTGGTCTGTCTGCCACCTACAGATTTTAGAACATCCAAAGTTAAGGGAAAAATCACAGTGATTCCACTGGCCTTTACTACGGCTCCCGTGTGGATGGGTCAGCATGGTTGTTATGTGCTGAGGCCCGGCAGAATGTTCTCCCCTGCAGAGCTGAAGCAAGCCCCCCCGCCCCCCGCATTCAGCACATAAGCCTCTCCTGACAATCTTTCACAACTAGTTTTCCGGACAGCCTTGTAATTAGGCGCCCTGCCAGAGAGACCCAAATACACGGAGAGGTTCCCTCGTCTTCCCTACGTTACAGACAAAGTTTCTGGGGCAGCTGCCTGGCAGACAAGACGGAAAGCGCCTGGCATACCGGACACAGCACCTGTCTGAAGACTAGGCAGCTATGGGGGTGGGCGGCTCAGGTGGTGATCTCAGGGCCATGAGATCGAGCCCTGCGTCGGGCTCTGCGCTCCGTGGGGAGTCTGCTGGAGAGTCTCTCTCCCCCTCTGCCCCTCTCCCCTGCTCACGCATGCAGGTGAGTGTGCTCGCTCTCTCTCAAATAACTCTTAAAAAAAAAAAAAAAAAGATTAAGGCAGATGTGCAGCAGACCCAAGGCACCAAAATTTTCTTTGGAGCCTGGGTGATGTATACTTTGGAATGGGGCAGCTCTAGGGATAAAGGTCCTATAGACAGAGTGGATGTACCACCTAATATTTTCTTGATCCCTGGGCAATGATGGCTTCCTAGGAAAAGAACTGAAAGCAGGCAGGCTGCCCTGTATTTGCACACGCCCCTGGCCTGGAAGGAGTGTGTGCACGCAGTGAGGCCCTGCTTCCCCGTGAGCGACCTACATTTCGTGAGGGGCAGGGCGGGTGAAGGTTAACAGCTTAAGTGAAAGCGTATCTCTCCGAGAATCACGTTCTGGCTAAAACGTTATTTTAATTCTAAATTAAAATTATATTATGCACAGAAAACTGCATCTCTTAAAAATTCTTTTCATCCTTACACGGGAATTTACGTGCTTTTGGGCACTAATTTTCCTGTGCCTTTGTATCACCATTTTATCCCACTGTTTAAAAAAAAAAAAAAAAAAAAAAGTTCTCCTTTAGCCTCCATTTCCATTTACCTAACTTTTAAAAGCTAAAATATGCTATCTCAAATCCTCTCAGAATATGGTAGGAGGAAAGTAAATTAGCCAATCAACCAGTAAGGGGAAAAAAGTAGACAGGAGGTCAAAGGCTTGCTTTATCTCCTCCTAACACGGGTTTGAGTGACCCGGTCATGGTCAAGGTGTCTTTCTAGTTGCCTTGCCGCTGGAAGGAAGCCACTTCACTCGGGAGGAGGGTGTCTTAAACCAGAGTCCGTGTTCAAAAGGTTCAAATTTAAGTCACTTGAACATCGCCTTCCTGGCTTGGCCTCCAGCAGCTGCTTACCCTTCCTGGAATCACGAGATTGTCGATGCCAATCAAGTCTTTCTTGAGTTCGTGCAGCTTCTGGAAATTCTCCATCTTGATCATCGTACCGTGAAGCTGTGCCACCATCTCAGTAATCTCTGCCAAAGCAGCTAACGAAGCGAACAGACACAGGAACAGCGGGATGAATGGCAGACCAGGGTCTCCCCCGCACCCCCACACCCTGGTAGCAGCCCTCTGGGTAACATCCCCAGTAGTTGAACTAAGTTAGAAGCCATCCTCCTGGGGGAAAACACTGCTATTCCTCATAAAAATTTCTCACAAATAAAAAAATTTGCATTATGTGTTTATTTGCTTTACTTGAGTTTCCTAAGTGCATTTTGGAAATGTCAACGGCCCCTTTGTGGCTATGTGGTAGACGGCTGTCCTTGGGCTGGAAGCACCTGGCACGGAGGGGCAAGTGGGAGGGGAGTAAGCGGGAGGGGACCTGGAATTCTGTCCCCAGGGCAGAGGTTTCTACCCACCTCCTGTTACCTGGAAAGAACAGAACACGGGGGGGGGGCCCGCGGCGCACAGAAAAATCTGGGGCAAAGGAGGGATCCTTCTGTGAGAGAGTCTCCCTGATAGTGTGACACTTTGGGGCACCTGACATTCCAGCACAACCCCCCCCCCCGGTTTTTCCTTCTGCAGCAATTACACTGTTTACCAAGATGACTGCAAAAGGCTGCTTCATTTTGCAGTATGGGCACATCTCCCCTACGCAGGTACGTATCTGATATGGAAAAGGAGCTGATGCTCAATTAGTGCAAGTTTAGTTTATGTCAATCCACAGTAGCTGAGCAGCTGAGCATTTAGGTATTTTCGTCAGGAAATACTTGTCAACGGGGGCGCCTGGGTGGCACAGCTGATTAAGTGTCTGACTTTGGGTTTTGGCTCAGGTCATGATCTCAGGGTGGTGGGATCGAGCCCCACGTCGGGCTCCATGCTCAGTGGGGCATCTGCTTCTCTCTCCCCCTGCTCACGCACACTCTCTCAAATAAAAAAATCTTAAAAAATTTGAAAAAATATAAAAAACTAATCTATAAGATTTGTCTACACATCCTAGATACCAAAGGACTGATTTTTCTGCAATAAGCCCCACATCCTCATGTCCCCCCTTAAAACCCTGTCTTCTCTTTGCTCTTCCTTGCAGTCCTGTGGGGTTTATGAGACCCCACGAGATCTGGTCTCTGCTTACTTTGCCAGTCTTGTTTCTGCTGCTAATCCCTCTGTGTTCTACACAGAACTTCCACTTTCCGGAATGTTCCATAGTCTCTGTCCCCTGTGGCCCTCTGTACATGCTACTCCCAACTCTATCCAGGAAAACTCCTAAATTTTATACATTAGATCTAAATTTAAAATAACCTTTCCCTCAGAAAGCTCCCCCTGAGCCCCGAAGGCTGGGTCGGGTCACAGGTCAGTCACTGCCCAGATGTCCTGCCTTCTGTACCCACTAGTTGGTCCTGTGAGCGGGGCCACATCTGCGTTATTCCCTCTCATATGCCTAGTACACAGCAGGTGCTCAATGCGTATATGCTGCATGAGACTGGCCAGGGGCCAGCGCATGACGTTTTGACTGTAGCCTGAGGGAATCCGGTGTCACTCAGGTTGTAAGCAAGAGAGTAAGAAGTATATTTAGAAAAAGAGGACATAGATGGGAGGTGTCTGTAACGCTTTAGGAGAGAGGTACCAGTGGCCCAGGTATCTCATCTGTAAAATGGGGTAACAGTTCTTACTGTTGTTGGTTGTTGAAGGAGTAAAGGCACCAGTATTACTAAGATACCTGGCACGGTACCTGAGGGCGTGGTGCTGAGCAAGCGACAGGGAGCAGTATCATCATGACAGTAGGACAAGATGGTCAAGAACATGGGGTCTGGGTTTGGGCTCCGAGCCATTTGCTTTCCAGCTCTGTGACTCTGGGCATGTTGTTAACCTCTCTGGTCTCAGCAGCCCCTATATGTAAAATGAGCTCACCCCTGCCATGAATATCAGGAGTCAATACAGGTGAAGTGCTTCTTAAGGCGACCAGCACATTACAAGTGCCCAGCAGCAATTAGCAGAAGGACTGATTATTAGAGGCCATTTTCCGCAGCCAACCCAAGGAGGGAGTGGGGAGTTTCAACCATGTGGGTAGCGGAATGCTTCCTGGAGGGGGCTGACTCTTAAGTGGGGCAAACCAGCCAAGATCAAAGAAGGGAGGTCCTAAGGGCCATGAGCAGTTCCTTTACGGAGAGACCAAGAAGTAAGAGAAGGCGGGATCACAGAAGCCCGAGCACAGCGTCGGGGGGGAGGGGGGCTGCCCCGCCCCCCGGCTCACCCCCCGCCCCCCGGCTCACCCCGGCAGTCCCGGAAGTCGGCGTGGTGGGGCGGGTGGTGCTTGCACAGCCGCTCCAGGACCTGTTTGTAGTGCATGAGCCGGTGCAGCGGGCGCAGGAGGAAGGTGTTGAGCGGCAGGTAGCACACCTTCTGCAGCTCGAAGTCTCGGCACAAGTTCTCCAGCCGCCGCGAGCCCCTGATGCCCGTCTCCAGCGCCTCCAGAGCTTCGCTGTGCTTCCACAGGTGAGCCGCCAGTTGCTGGGGGGGGGGGGGGGGGGGAGACAGACAAGTGCGCATGCGTCCCACCGCTCCTGCCTCTCGGAAATGAAGGCCGCCTTGGCTTGCGACGCTTCATTTCGTTCTCTTATTGTCCCCATTTTGCTATTTATTTCATAATTTCAATTGGGTTCTCGGGATGAAAGAAAAAGCTCTAGTAAAGCATCACGCAGCTGAAAATACTTAGGGATTCTGGAGTAGGAGATGTATATGTTATCTTAAGAGGTGAGACTGACAAAATGGAGGGGAATAGATCAACAGGAGCTCCTTCAGGGGGCCTGTGGTTTTCTTCTAAATGTCACCAGATGACAAACAGACCAGGGCCCATTCAATAAATGTCACACAGTTACCACTGTGCATTTCTATTTAACTCGCCCCTTTCACTTATCAATAAGTATCTGCCATGTGCCACCTACTCTGCTCGATCCTGGAGAGCTGGGTGAGAATTAGACATGGACCCTACTCTACTGGGGTCCGACAAAGATGCTTCACTTGACCAACCTTTCTTCAGGCCCCTGAGCCTTCTCCTCGACCTGTCTGTGAACCTCCTTATTGAAAGCCAGTTTTAGCAAAACCCTGGCTACGTCAGCCCAACCAGAACCCCTACACCCTGGATATCTGGTCACCCTTGACATTGGGTTCATCTCTCATCATCCCCAGGTGATATCCGATCACCCCATCTTCAGCAAGGAAAGCTGTCAGGTTGGTTGAGCCAGAACCTGACTTACCCTGATGTTTCCTCTTCATACGTTCCCATCCTCTGACCCTGCCCCTTGGCTAGAAATCCCCGCTTGCCCAAACCATCTTCAGAGTTGAGCCCAGTCTCTCCCCCACCGAAAACCCCACTGCAGGGGACCCTACCCCAGTGACAGTGGTCCTGAATAAAGTCTGCTTGACCATCTTTAACACATGCCGTTGAAGATTCCTTTCCTATCATAGCTATCACGGTGGAGTGGCGAGGGTAAAGAGTTGGAGAAGAAAGCATTAATGGAGGAATTCATTCTTCACGGCAGATGGGGAAGAATCTCAAGGGAAGGACGTTTCCAGACAGATAAAGGTAATAAGATGGGCACAAGGACATCCAGGAACAGCAGTTGTCCTCAACACTCACTTCCTAGGGGCGGGCTTGCTATCCATGCACCACTCGCCCCCACATCTACATTTCCATGCCCTGCAAAGGCTTCCTAAAGAGCCTGAGATGCAGCAAGTCCGGGTGGGAACCCCACGTTCCCTGCCTCAACTGGGGCCACTCTGAGATTCTCTAACCTCAGCATGGGTGCCACCACCAGCCAGTTACTCAGGACAGGAAGACCAAGAGAACACTCCAGATCCCCCCATGTCTTGAATCCTTTACCAAGTCCTTCCCAGTCTACCTCCTAAAAACATCAAACCTTTTCCTGTCTTCTCCGCACAGTCACTGCCCTGGTTCTGGCCTTGCACCCCCCCACCACAGTGGCCGTGTCTCCATCGGGGCCTTGGCCTCCACGCCTCACCCCTCCACACCTAAGCCACTGACATGAATCAGCGACAGAGCTCAGCTTGTGGCCTCTTGGTTGGAACGTGACAAGCTCCCCCCATCTTGGGACAACCTCCAGAGTCCTCGGCAGGGCACACAGGGCCCTTAGGATATAATCTCTTTACCCCTCCTATCTTGCTTTTTGCCACTCATCCCAGGGCCAACCTGAACTTGAATGTGCCAGGCTGCTGCACTCAGAGCCTCCACACATGACACTCCAGTTTGGACTCCTGCTGGCCTCAGCAACTCCCTTGACACCCAGCCGCCTCCACCGGTTAGGGACTCCTCTTTCTTCCTGTACTTAGGCTGTATTTGTCCATCTTAGCCCTTATCACATGGTGTCCCCTGCTGGGGTTGTTGACTACTTAAAAAAAAAAAATGCACAGGAACTTGCAAAGAAATGTACAGGGAGGTCCTTCACCCAGCCTCCCCCAACGTTACCATCTTGTGTGACTATAGCATAACGTCAACACCAAGAGATTGACACTGGTCCAATCTGGAGTTTGTCTGGATTCTACCAGTTACACATCCCTTGTGCGTGCATGTGCATGCGTGTGCGCATGTGCAGCTCTATGCAGCGTTATCACATGTGCAGTCTCTTATTTGATTTTAAGAGAGCACATCTGTCATGTTCCTATATCTTCGGGGCCTAAGGCACACAATAGGTGCTCAGTAAATGCCTGTTCCCTGCATGCATTAATGAGCAAATGAGGGACACCTGGCTGGCTCAGTTGCTAGAGCATGCAACTCTTGCTTTCTCGGGGTTGTGAGTTGGAGCCCCGTGTCAGAAGTAGAGGTTACTTTTAAAAACAACAAAAAAGAGCAAATGAACCCATGCATGCACCCAGCTGAGGCAGGAGTCTTGCAAGAACCTGAGAGTCTGGAGAGGCGAGTTCATGGTCAACTGGAGCAGAGTGGAATGTGAAGGACAGCGGGAAGGGCCTGGAAAGATCATCCAAGGCTAGACTATGAAGGCTTTCTTCGTCACGTTTTGGGTTTGGACTGTATTCTCCCAATCAGAGAGATGCAGGAGGGCTTTGAGCCTAGGCGGTCTGGCTGAAATATAAATGGTGACTGGGAGCTCGGCTCGCTGGGAGGAGGGGAGGCACCGGGAAGCAGGTCGAGTCATCCAGCAGACAGCAAACCGAGAGCCAGAGGGAGTAATGTGGTAGGAGTTTAAGGAGAGGAAGCAGGAGTTGGGCACTTGAGGAGACAGATGGCTCGCATGGAGGTCCTAGCCTGGATGAAAGGCGGATCTCTCTTATTTGTGTGATTTCGAAGTGCCTTTGTGCACCTGGGCAGATGTTTCCAGGTGGAAGGTCACAGCATGGGCCGGAGATCACAATCTGGGTATGTGACTTTCAGGCGGGAATTGCAGCCCCTGGCCCAGCTGCCTCGGTCATGGTCACGAGTGGAGGGAGGGTCAGCACCCCCGCTGAGTCCCTGCAAATGCAGGTAAATACACGGGTTTGTGTGTTGGGGGGTGGGGGGCAGGAAGGACACTGCAAGCTGCAGGTCACTCTAAGCATTTTGGACAAAAGCGCTAACCTGGTCTTCTGCATCTCTAGAACCTTCTGCCGCCCTCCCTTCATACTTCATAAAAATTCTTTAAAACCAACTATAATCATTACAAGAAAAAACCCAAACAAATTCTAAAAAAGGCCGCCGTGGCTGTCTGAGCCTCTCCACCTATTTTTATTTTGCTTGCACAGAGCTGCATGCTATAAATGCTCATGGCATCCGCACACCAGCTCATGCTGCCAGCAGCCGATGAAGCCGACTCAACACAGAAATGCCAACTCAGCAGACTGAGCAAAGAGAACGGCTATGAGCGCAAACCGAGTATGTTCCAGGAGGTCTCAGGTGCGAGGTGAACGGAGAGGAGGTTCCAGGAGGTCTCAGGTGCGAGGTGAACGGAGAGGAGGCTGGAGGCCCACGCACGTCAGCTCTCCGTGGGCGAGCGGTAAAAAAGACAGCTCTGGGGACTGTCCCCAAGGGGGGCAGGGAATGGGCTGGCAGGTCTCCAACTGCCGTCCCCGGAGGCCACAGTGGAGGCCAGGCCTCCCTGAAGGCAGTAAGTGCAGGTGGGAGCCCTCCCTCGGCAGGATCGTACAGCGGGTCCTCGAATAACGTCGGGGTTCAGAGCATGGACTCCTCCACGTAGTTAAGAATAGGCATTTAACTTTTAACTCCCCCCAAACTCAACTATTAATAATAGCCTCCGCAGATCGTCCTATCAGGTCCTGGCTGCCTGTGGACAGCGGTTACAGCCCAGGCCTCTCACAGCCCCGAGATTATTGTCCCTAGGGAACGTGTTCCCCCTAAATCCCAAAGCGGCTCACCTTCATGCCCTGAATGTTCTTCAGCAGGACATCTCCGATTCTTTGGTAATCTCCTCTGACGTGGGCATTTGAGCGGCCTTCCCTGAGAACAGAGGCAACGGGGGTGAGAACGAAAACATCAGCAGTGGAAATGTTCCCAGAAACGGTCCCAGCCCCAGAGGACTCAACAGCAACCTTCACGTCTCCCTTTCCAATCCCCCGTTATTTGTACCTCTCCCTTCTCTGGGTGTCACTGAATATTAGCACCAGAAGGAGACCTGGAAATTACCCCAGTCATTCTGTAGACAAAGAAGTCCACTTGTACTTTGAAAGAGACGGGGAAGAACTGTTTTGTCATCATTTTAATTTGGTCTCATTTTATATTTTTTCCCCATCCACACTTGGGTGATTCTGGTGTCATTACAACAGCATGGAGATCACTAACAGACCAGGTTTCTGCCCCCCCCCCCCCAAGAGCCCTTAGCCTAAATCAGACAGAGTTGTGTGGAAAGCCCTCAGGAAGAGAAAAACAGGACTGAGGGGTACCGGGGACCCGCGCACGTGGAGGTGGGAATGGGGGCAGAAGCAGGCAGGACAGGTGCCCCAGGTACGGGGAGGATCCAGACTCCCCCCCCCCCCCCCCCCCCGCTGGGTGGTAGATGACAACGATGTGGGCACTTTCAGCAGAGTTTGGGGTATATATTTCTATTTCTCATGGCTCCAGGCTGTAGCCAATGTTGATAAACCAGGGGCTTAAGCAGCAGAGAGGAAAGGAGTATTGATAATGGCAGGTAGTTATGGAGCACGGTCTACCATGCTGAGCACATTACAAGCACAAACTCATTTACCCCTCGTGGCGGCCTTATGAGGCAGGTGCCCTCGGCACTACCATTAAACAGCTTTAGAAACCAAGGCACAAAGTAACACGTGGCTTGCCTAATGTCAGCTATCATGAGATCGTGAGCCTGGACTTGAGCCAAGGGGGTCCAGCCTACACCCCTCCAAGCACGCACCAGTGGTATCTGTGAATTTATGCACTGATGAGAAAAGAATATTCCAGAGACAATTAAAACACCATTTATCACAATGAATCTGGCTAATATCTTTAAACCAACTGTTCAGGAAAGCTAGAAGCCAGCTTAAGTGAGGGGGATGGATGAAAAAGAAAAAAGGTAAAAATCCAGACATGGGGCCTTGAGTCAGAAGTGAGAGGTGCTCAGAGTGGAATGAAACCCTGAACCCAAGTCAGGATGGCCTGTGATTCAACCCCACGGATGCCACTGTTCTATGCCTCCAACATTGGGAGAGTGACTTCCCTTCTCAGCAGTGCCGAGCCTCAGAGCCTTCTGGAACTGTTGACCCCACTGCCGATTCATCAAGGTTGTCAGGATGGGCAGAGGAGGGCAGGAGGAATGCACACACTTAAGGAAGCGAAGCCAGGGGCTGGCAAAGTCAGGGCAGATAGAAACAGAAGGGCTGGCTCCTTGCCCAGCCCCTGGCTTCCTGCAATAGACAGTGAACGACTTGACTCATTCCCTTGGTCCTAACTAACCATATGCTGTATAGATGACATCACAGGGGAGACACCCAGACCCACTGGGTAGTTAAAGCTTCTCTGGAATGAAGGGAGGGAGGGCATCCATTATGCTCCCAGCCTGGGTCATCAGCGGCTTCCCGATGCTTTCTTTAACCCATTCCTCTCTCCTCCACCCCAACACAGCTTCCTCAATCCTTCTGCTTCCTCTTAGCTACCAAAACAAATGTGGTGGGCAGATGGCCTTAATTACTACTCACTTCTCTTCCAATGAAATAGGGGGTCTCTCCCCACCACACCCTGAAGCGCTTCGGTGAAGGAATTCCATCAACCTCATCACTACTAAACCACTCTGCCCTGTGTAACCGCTCCGGGCGACAGTGCCCCAAACTTCTGGAGCCCTTTTCCTTCAGGTTCCCAGACTCCCCTTGAGGTCAGTCCTCACTGCTACCTCCTCCTGTTCAGGCCACTCCTAAGAGGTGTGTGTGTTCTTCGGGAACGCACGGGCGCTTCTATTCTCCCTTCACTTGCGGCTACTTCCTGTGTAATTCCTTGATTCAGGATGCCGATCAGGACCCAGAAGTTGCTTACAGCTACTGACCTGGGGACTGTCTTTCTCATACCGTCCAGAGGGTTCTGCATGAACGACCCTGCAAGTATCTCAAGCTCAAAAGGTTCCGGAATTATCTTCCTGCCCAAACCCAACCCTCTTCCTATATTAATCCCCTTGGTGATACGATCGTTCTGCCCTATGCTCAAACGCCAGGGTAGGAACTCAGGTATCCTCCCTTGTCGGTCTCTCAGATCCCCACCCACTGGATGAGACTGCCCCCAAAATGGGGTCCCTGGGCAATGTTCAAGCAACGGACTCAGCCCCAGGCTCTGCTTTGGAGACAGTCCTCAGTCCACAGCTAATCACTGCCTAATATTCTGCTCCATCAACTGCAAGGTTGAAGCATCTTTGGATTTTTAGCAAATGGTTATTAATCCAGTCTCTATTAGAGAAGTTGATCATTTGGCCATTCTGTGGATCCTAAGGTGTGCCCACTTTTAGCTGCAAGTTTACTGGCTGCTCTTCTCCTCATACACTTGGAGCAGAAAGGAGCTCCGGCCTGAAATGGAGGCTTTCTGCTTTCTAGAACCACCTGCCCCCTGTGCCTTTGCCATCACATGAAGCCCTTGTAGGAGCTGGAAAGCTCTCCTTCCCTTACTCCACTGCCCCCCAACACCTGAACAAAAAGGAAGACCCAGCTACTGAGCCACAATGTCTGATTTTGACTAAATGCCACACATTAATAAAAGGAGGCAAGACACAATTGAAACCTGATTTGTGGGTATGCAGATATTACTTGGAACTTATGTAAGTGACCCCAAAACTTTCAAATAAGCATGCCATTTGACAATGCAGCTAAGGAAGGTCTTTACTTAGTTCGAAGGACATAATTTAGATACTTTAGCGAGAGTCCTCTGGATTAGGTGGGCAAGGGGAGAAGGGGGGGCGGTCCTGTGGCTTCATTAATATTCATAACAAGCAATTTCCTCCTCCTCACAGATAACACCCTAGCCCAGGGGAAAATCAAGTGCTGGAAAGCAGACCCTGGGGGAGGGGCAGAGCCCCACAGGGAAGTAAAACATCACTGACTTCACTTCCTTTCTTCTTCTGCCAACCGTTTCTTAAAAGAAAATGTACTCATGTTAAAGCCCCAAAGTCAAGGGGACGTTTTCCTGCATGGGCTTGCTAGCAGAGCCCTGTTTCTCTGTCTTTGGCATCTTTACTTTTGTTTTAGAAATAGCTCTAGGTTCCTTTCATCACTGCCCTGTGCCTCTGCGGGGGGGGGGGGGGGGGGGACGGTGATGTGGATAAATTCAAATGGGGCCAGCTCTAGGTGGTGTGGGGAAAGCAGGCTGGGGCCCCGGAAGTCAACGCAACCATTCACGCAGCTCTGCCCACCCTCCGTACCCTCCCCTCTACAGCACGTGGCCGGTCCCAGCCCCGAGGTTGTTCCAGAACGTGAAGTCAGCCCACGGGAACAGGACAGAACCCCAAATTCCTGCCACCGCCTATAGAAACACTGGCTGTTTTTACTTCCTGCACCCCAATCTGCAAGTTCAAAGCATCTGCTTTATTATGAAGAACTAAAAGGTCATGTCATTATTGAGAACATGAAAAAAGTAATTATAACTCTTCCAGAACATCCTCCGGATGTTAACCTCACAAGAAAAGGGGCCTTGTTTAGAAGACAGGGCCATGTATTTGTTGTCTGCGTAATTACCGCTCCGCAACAAAGCTGAAAATTCTTTTGACAATTTCACTTTGGAAATTCATATACTTGGATGCCTCCAGGATGCTCAATTCTGACCCATGCACCACGATTCACATACTCCCTGGAGCAACAACATGTTAGCTCAGCATACGACTGAAACGTGCACGCACACACACACACACCCCATGAATCTCCAAGTCTACACACACACACACACACACACACACACACACACACACACACACACGAATCTCCAAGTCTGAAACGTGCGCGCGCACACACACACACCACGAATCTCCAAGTCTACACACACACACACACACACACACACACACACACACACGAATCTCCAAGTCTTCCAGACCCAACACTTCATTCAGAGCGGGTCACTAACTGGGCAGCAGGCAGAACAAGAAGAGGAAGTAAAGGACCAGTTCCCCGGGGGGGGGGGGGGCAGCAGTGAGGCTGACTCTGAGGGGCAGAGGGAGCCCCACACCTGAGGGCTTTGAGTCTGGCCCCCCAGGAAATACACAATGCTGGTGGAGCAGGTGGGCAAGGCCAATGGGAGAAAACACCGCTCTGCTCCCCCCTCCACACCCTCAATCCCAGGGTCAACCTAAAATCTACGCAGAGCCCTAAAGCCATGTACAGCACATCCACAACCTCTTCGGTGATACAGTCCCCCACTGGCAGTGTTTTTGGGGAGCGGGACATCAGGCCTGGCTTCGGTCAAGTGTCACAGGAGATGCTTTACCACAAATGCAGGTAGTGACTTCATGAAGCACCCAGCCCTCCCCTTCTCACAACAAATGAAACATCTCAGACTGAAGCACAAAGCTCACGCAGCTCAGAGCTGGAGTGTGGCCCCGCCACCGGGCTCTGGGTCTGGACGCTCCCTCACCCCGGGAGATGGACTGAACCTTGTGAGCCTCCATTTTTAGGCCACATTTACAAATCGAACATCACATCCTTGGCTCTTACTAGTCCCTGTGGGTTCTATGATTTTAAAATGAAAAAAATCTGTAATCACATGTATTTGTCTATATATAAGTAGAAGGATAGCGTATAAATAAGTAAATGAATAAAGATACATCTTCCATTAATGTGTGGGTGAGGGAGCGTGGCTGGGTTCAAAATCAAACAATTTAGCCAGAGTAATAGATTATATTTACATTCTATATCTAATACTTCTTTATATATAATACATATAACATCTATAAATATATTAGCCACATGTAATCTATGTAGACTTCAATATTCTTCGATGGATTTTAATATCCCTTGAGATCCCTGGAGAGGAAAATC